CTTGAAATGGGAGAGAAGTTGTCATCCCTGAACTAACAAACAAATGCAGGTTTCAGAGACCAAAGCTCCCTTCTCTGACCATCTGGGGACCAGGCTTAGGCCTATTTATCCCCAGTGCTCAGACAGCAGAGGCAGCAGGCCATGGTGAGGTAACAGGCATCAGGAGATCAGAGTTTCTTATTCGCAAAGCAACTGCACACTCACCTATTTCAGTGCCCGCTGCTGGGTGAGGTAGGCGTTTATTCCTTCCTTTTTCCAACATGGAAACTGAGGCTTATGGCAGATAAACCATCAGCAGAAATCACGCCACTAGGAAGTGGTAGAGTGAGACTTGAATCCATAACTTTTGACTCAAATAAGGGATCCCACTGCATCTCAAAACTGCCACTTTGTCAGTTGCCTGGTGGCAACCAGCTGATAGTGTGGCAGGAGATTTGCTTCAGATGGAGTTAGGTAGGATTCCTCAGAGCGGCCAACCAGGACTGAGAGATAGGTATCTGGTAATATTTCCTAATTTGGGCTTACCTTGCAGGAGGCTTAGCATCCCTGAGCCTTCCCTGCTACAATCTGGTTGAGATACCCCAAATGCTGCCCCCACCCATTTAGCAAACACCCCATAAAGACTATGCACTCTGGAATGAGAACCAGTGCAGGAACCTGAGGACCTCCAACCTGAAAGCAAGAATACCTAGAGTACTCATAGATGAGGATCCAATAGGAAGGTGATAATGGGGACAGGGAAGTTCATTTGAACCAGTCTGGCCTGGACTGACTCAGAGTTGTACTGGACAGCAACATATGGTTAATGCAATCAGCAAACATTAAATAGGTTGGATGCCATGATGAATGCATTGTGATTTCATCAGAATGGAAAGAATAAACATCTACATCTTTGATGGAGGAGGTTTCTTTCCCAGTTGTCTCCTGAGTTGGACCCCTCATTAATGGTAAATTCTTTCTAATGGCAGAGGGAGCCATTGAGACGGCACTAATGGGTCCTGGCAGAAGTAGCAGTGTCAGGTGCTATGGAGGAGAAAGTCCAGGCAGCGGCCTTCCAGAAAGGAGGTACACAAGGTGTGCTCCGCCACCTCCATGGAAACAAATGGTTTCTTTCAGCAGTGAACAAAGCCTTTTCACAGATAGCATCTTCAACGTCATTTTCTCCTGGGTGTTGTTCGCAGATGAATGAGGTTTCCTGTTTGAGTAGGAGAGAGGATTGTGTGCTGGACCCTTTGGGGAGACCCCTCCCATAAATCCAACTTATCTCCAACCATAGCAGCCATCTGAGCCGCTCAGGCAGCTGGTGAAAAGGGCTTTGTGTTGCACTGCCTCACCACGGCCCCGACTGGCTCTCAGACACCTGAACGTGGTGCCCTTTTTTCTTGAGCTGGCTTTGGAGCTGCAATATGCTTTTCCCTGGATAAAGACAACACAGCAAGAGCAGCGCTGATCTTATTCTACCTAATTTGCTGGATGTTATCTTTGTCTTTGGAGATCTCAGAAAAGATTCAGAGACTTACAAAGTCTTTTTACTACAGTGACCACCTTTCCCGGCTCTCCACAAGGTATATCCTTGAAGATTCTACAAAAGAACGAGCTGCCTCCTAGAAACTTGAGAGTCCTAAATCATCAGAAATTGAATTGATCAGGAAAAAAAACGATTACAGCTCACCACAAATCTCTCCCCAACCTCAAATAATCTCCAAGAGCTGTCTACGCCTGACTCAAATGACTCCTCAGTAATAACTGCTCTTGTCTTCTGGGTTGCTTTGTTTTCCCCCATATAAAACCCTACAAGATAGATTCCTTCCTCGATTGAGAGCTAGGATTTTTTTTTAAGCCTAATGGATTCTTGATTCTAAGGTCAACATTAAGTTGTATGCTCCAAAGTATAGTTTAATAGAAATATTTTCAGACATTTAACCTACTCTAATTTCTTATTTCTTGAATCTTTTTTTTTCTTCTTGTTAATGGCTTTAGTATTTTATTACCTGAAATATTTTCATGTTAAGTTGCTTGTTCTTTGCTTTGGCTGTAGGTAGGTAGCACATAAATATGGACTGAAATTTTTAAAAATATTCTTAATTTCAAATATATTCTCAATAGTCTAGTTCACTGAGGTCAGAAGGCCAGCGCAGGTTCCAGAATATTGGTTCTAGTACGACAGTATAATGTTCCCATAGTCAGTATGTCAGTGCCTCCAGACCAGGAGGTGGCCAGCTGGTTTGCCATTGATCAGATGGATTTGAACCTTCACTTCAGCTCTGTCACTTCTCCCAAATCTGCTTTCGTCATTGTAGCCCCCTCTTACAGGAAGAAGCCACCTGAGCATATGGGAGGACGTTAAGGCTCTTAGGAAGAATCAATCCCCCCAAAAGAAAGCCTTTCTTACTGGCTTCTGTTGAAAACAAGGCCACAATTACATGTGTGTCCTTTGACTTAAGAGATTTGTCCGATGAATGGATTAAGAAAATGTGGTATCTATACACAATGGAATTTTATGCAGCCATGAAGAAGAACGAAATGTTATCATTCGCTGGTAAATGGATGGAATTGGAGAACATCATTCTGAGTGAGGTTAGCCTGGCCCAAAAGACCAAAAATCATATGTTCTCCCTCATATGTGGACATTAGATCAAGGGCAAACACAACAAGGGGATTGGACTTTGCGCACATGATAAAAGCGAGAGCACACAAGGGAGGGGTGAGGATAGGTAAGACACCTAAAAACTAGCTAGCATTTGTTGCCCTCAATGCAGAGAAACTAAAGCAGATACCTTAAAAGCAACTGAGGCCAATAGGAGAAGGGGACCAGGTACTAGAGAAAAGGTGAGATCAAGAAGAATTAACCTAGAAGGTAACACACATGCACAGGAAATCAATGTGAGTCAACTCCCTGTATAGCTATCCTTATCTCAACCAGCAAAAACCCTTGTTCCTTCCTATTATTGCCTATACTCTCTCTACAACAAAATTAGAGATGAGGACAAAATAGATTCTGCTGGGTATTGAGGGGGTGGGGGGAGAGGGAGGAGGTGGGAGCAGGGGGGGAGAAATGACCCAAGCCTTGTATGTACATATGAATAATAAAAAAATAAAAATTAAAAAAAAAAAGAGATTTGTCCGAGTTGCAATTCGAGGGAGATTGATGCAAGTGTGTCTGTATCCTCATAGTGGTTGGCGCCCTCTGAATGTCCTTGGGTTTATTGTGTTCCTTTGCTGAGATCACATTTTGATAGAAGGGAAAGGATGAAAAGGATGGAAGCAGGAAAGCCCAGAGAGAGGGGACGAGGAAATGCAAAAGGGATTAAAGGTGATTCAGTCTTACTCAACATACAAAACCTTGGTTGCAACCCAACCTGGCCAAGGCCCAGGCTGTGTGGGGCTCGCCTTGCTCCTGTGACACCATCCCTGAAGTTACAGTCACCGCTGGCTCTCTATCGGACTGACTTTTAGCTTTGATGGCCAAATCCCACTACAGGAAAATCTGACGAGTGTCTGCCTGGGATCAAGTCAATTCTCAGATGCTGAGAGACAGAAATGAGAATGGGCCACTCCCGTTTGAAAAGAAATGTCTTTAAAATGCAGAAACATCCCAATGAACAACCAAGTAAGCCAAAAAGGAACTGGCTGGGGGAGGATGTCATGTTAAGTCGTATTTCTCTCTTCCCTTGCAAGCAATCTATCTTGCAAAGCTCTGCTCACGCTGTCAGATTGCAAACAAAGGGAGTATTCTTACTCTGGAGCCATGAGGCAGGAACAACTGGGCTAGTGCGATTGGGTTTGAACTCCAGGCCAATGCCCCTTAAATCTGGGTTTCTTACGGATGAGCGTTTCTACCCTTCCATGGATGGAACTTTGTTTCATAGTAGGAAAAGGAGCAAGACTGTGCTCTCTGCAACTCTTGACGCCATCGCTTGTGAGATGGTTTACCTCCCACCGGGGCAATTTGACTGCTTAGCGAGAGAAGTGCTCAACCATAAAAGAACAAGTGTACATTTAAGGTTTTGGGGCATCCTTAAAAAGCACATCTATATCAACACTCACTTAATTTGCCTAATGAAAACACAATCTCTTCAAAGTTAAACTTGAAGCTGGGAGTGGTGGCTCATGTCTGTATTCCTAGCTTTTTGGGAGGCAGAGGTCAGAAGGATTGCCGCCAGACCTGGTAAAACATTAATGAGACCCCATCTCAACAACAACAACAACAAAAGCTGGTTGTGATGGTGCATGCCTGTCATCCCAGCTATGGGAGGCATAAGTAGGAGGACTGTGGGTGAGCCAGCCCAGGAGAAACTCAAGACCCTGTCTGAAAAATAACTAAATCAAGGAGGGTTTGTGGTGTGGCTCAAGTGGTAGCACACTTGTCTAACAGATGTGAAGACCTGAGTTCAAACTCCATACCACTAAAAAAAAAAAAAAAAGTTAAACTTGGATTAGAAGTTTGAACTTTCAAGACTATGTAAGGATTGTGATTTTACAAACCAACACAAATTTTAATGGTACAGCAGAAAGATATAAATTTAGTAAGTCACACACACCTTTTTTTGGACATGGGGTTGGGGTCTTGCTGTGCCGTCCAGGCTGGCCAGGAAATCCTGGGCGCAAGTGGGTTTCCTGCCTCAGCCTCCACAGTGCCAGGCTCAGGCACCAGCCACCAGGCCCTAGCTTTTCTCTTTTATTTAAAATTTAGAACTGGTTTGCACACATGCTATATTGGAATTATGCTTTAGTACTGGCTGTGGTTTAACAGCCCTGTGGAGGTCTCAGCCCCCTTCTTCCTTGCTGGTGGAATCCCCATGCTGTTTGCAAGGTCACACCTTCCCCATGTGACGCAGAGTGTGAACCCTGATTGGTCAAAACCCACATGGTCATTTTATTCCCCTTGCCAATGACCAGTGTAGGCGTGTGCGCATGGCCCAGGTCTGGCCAATGACATGTGAAAGGAAGTCTCCTGGGCACTTCTTCCTCAAAACAGAGAAATAAAGGGAAATACTTACATTTTAAAAAATGATGTTTGTGGCCAGTAAGGGAGATGACAGTCCTTCCCAGCACCTGAAATGCGGAGCGGAGAGAACCCATTTTTTTTCTGTATTTTTTTTAACTGTTTTATTATTCCTATGTGCATACAACGCTTGGGTCATTTCTCCCCCCTGCCCCCACCCCCTCCCTTACCACCCACTCCGCCCCCTCCCGGAGAGAACCCATTGATACAGCCAACGACTAGATTTGCTCGTGATCGCCTCCAAACTCCATGTTAAATGAGAAGAGAAAACATTCAGGGCCTTTGATTACTCAGAACTGGCAGAATTCTTTTTAAAAATCATTTTTATTAGCATATGTTAGTTGCACAAAATGAGGAATTTCATCGTGATGGTTCCATATAAACAAATAATGTACTTTGGTCGTAATCACTTCCTCCATTACTCTTTCTTGAAAAAAGTTTTTAAACGGGTTATGACATTTTCAAACACGCATACAAAATACTTCGATCACAGTCTTCTCATCGTCTGTTTTCCTCCTCCCCCATCCTCTTTTACATTCATGTCCTTTCTGTTTTTTAGATCTAAATCCAGCATAGGAGAGGAAACAAGCTATGTGTCTTTCTGAGTCTGGCTTATTTGGCTTAACATGATGAGCTCCAGTTCCGTCATTTTCCTTGACTTGACATAGTTTCATTCTTTTTTTTTGCTGAATAATACTCCAGAGTGTAGATGCCACATTTTCTTTATCCATCCATTCATCTATTGATGGGCAGGCACCTAGGCTGATTCCATAACTTGGCTATTGTGAATCAGAACTGAGATAATTCTTCAGGCTGTATCATAAACACCAACATATATTTAGGTATGATTGCTTTAATTAAGCAACTATGCAATGAAATCAAGTTTTTCTAATTTATGGTAACATGCTAACCAGGAGTTGTTCAACCACTTCTCCTTTGACTCAACAAAAGGGAAGTGGCATTTGAAGAATATTGGTATTTTTGCATTTCATAAATAATTCTAAAATGTAAAATAACCATTCTAAAAGAGCCATTGCAATCACCCCATCATTTGATGATCTCTACTGTGTAATTCATGGGCCAGACATAAATAATAATTTACATGTCTGCGTGTGCTCACATCAAAGAGTCTTAACATATATTGATAAATCCAGAAGAATGCAAAGGTTACTTTTTAAAATAGTAATTTTAGATGGATGCGGAAATATACAGCTTTATGCATTAGTGCTAAATACTAAATGCTCACTGGCTTGACTTATCTGTGGCCACCGGGAACTCTTGGTTAGGAGTGGGGTGGTGGGCACACAGTGACGCCTTTGCTATTTGATTAGAGTTCCCATGGGTCATGGCTGGAACAGGCCCACTATTCCATTCTCTTCTCACTCCCATTAAAGTTCACTTACACTTGCCTTTGTTCAGAGTTATCTGCCTTCAGCCCGCAGGGAAAGTTGTTTATACTTCTTGGGAGCTAAGCTTCCAGGTCATTTCCTGCCATTAATCCCCATCAGCAAGTGTCGATTGGGGCATTTCCTGTTCCTCTTGTCGCCAGTGGTGAATTCTCAATGGATTCTCATTTTTTAATTCTCCACAGTGACCTTTAAGGGTATGCAAGACCACATTCACTTCATTTAACTTGGTCTGACGTGCGCCCTGCTGAGGCTGTGGAAGGGGCAGCACCACTTCCCCTCCATCATTGGAGACAAGCTGGGCTGAGCAGCGGTTGCTTGGTAATCAAGGCAACTGGGTCTGAACCCAGCGTTTCTACCCTGAGTGGAGCATCAAGAAAAAGCTGCTCTGGTCATCTCTGTTAACTAAAGCCAATGGATGCCGTGATTCATTTGAATGCATTTGACTGAGTAAAAAATAAAACCATAATCATCAGTGGTTTTGTAACAAGGGATGGATCTGTTAACAGAAAGTTTACTTTCACTTTCTGATTGTTTATGCCAGGATCAAAAGATAAAAAGTTCCTAAAATTTTTCAGTAAACACAAATTTTAGAGAGCTTTAAATATCTGAGCATTTTTGCTACATCTGATAAAAAAAATCTTTTAAAACTCCCAATTTAATATTATTCCGATAGAAACAGTTCTGCTAAAAGTGCTGAGAACAGCTCAAGAGTGCACAAGCAACCTGTGGAATGGGAAATTATTAGCTATTGTTTTATTTTCATCCCAAACTGATTTTTAAAAAAATATCAAGGAGAAAAAAAAAAAATCAAGGATGAACAGAAAGCCACAGGATGTTCTCGAAAGAGAAACTTTCCAAACAAAATTTGACAAAACGATTTTCAAGTTTATCAGAAAAGATAAACTGATATAAACAGCTAAGCCAATTCTAAAGAAGAATGGGCGGCTTTCTGCAATGGGTAATGTGGCCCTACTGCAAAATCAGAGCAGTTTAAGCAGGCTGGGAACAGTGCAAGAAAAGACAAACGTCAATTCAAAACAGAAACAGTACTCCAGACACTCAGGCACAGACAAAAACCACGCTACACGTCACACAGCTGAGGAAACCCAAGGCCTAAGAGGGGGCTAGACGGAGCGTTGATCATGGAAGAACAAGAGGAAAACCTCGTAAAAAATTAGTGTCTGATGTTGAAGCCCAGAGGCTTTGCTGGGCATCAAAGCAGACAGAGACAAAGAAAAAACAACTTGAGACTGCTTGAAAAGAAACGTGAAAGAGAACAACTGAAGAGCCTTTTTCCAAGCTATAAGGAGTTAATATTTTTAGCAGGGAGCAATCTGTCAAGTCAATCAGGATGAATTCATTGTCGCTCCTGGCCACAGAAGGAGGCAAGTCACCAAGGAAGGATTACATAAATGGCCATAAATGTGAAAAAAAGGTTCAACCTCAATGATATCCAAACAAACACAATAAAAGTTAGCATAATATACATTTCTACAAATCCGTCTGATGTTCAGAACAGGCCGACCGTATGTGAACTAAGACACTAAGACTTGTTTGCTGGAGTTAAAAGCAAGGGAAAGTGTGAGGCACTTTCACTGCAGGAGTGTATTACAATATATGCTTATGAGCACACAAATGCATGGAAAAAGACCGGGACCCGTGCAGGAGTTATCTCTAGGGAGTGAGACACTAGGTTATTTTTCACCTCTTTTCGTGCTTTCCTACACTTGTCTGTTACTTTTAACATCAGCAGACAGGACTAACCAATGCCCCATGTGGAGTCTGCTTTGTAGCCCTTCCCTGCCTCCCCTCACTCTCCCAGCAGCGGCCACTTGAGGACATGGCTCCTGGTTTGCATGATTCAGACTCCAATCTGAAAAAAATAAAAAGCCTCTGTTCCCAGCCTTCTCACAGGGGACAACTTGCACCGGCCTCATTCCCTTCCCAGCACACGCCGTGAGAACTAGTCACAGCCTTTCTATAAAATGTGAGATTTGTCAAATACATGAAAGCTAAGCCATAAACTTGTACACAGCAGCTAAATATAAGTGGTGCTAACATCCAGCTTACATAACTTTGGTCCTCGTGGAGGATGCTGCACGACTGACACCGAACTTTACCCGAAGGCTAGGGCTGCTCCCGTGGTTTTCAGATGCTTTTGCTTGGACCTTGTCAAGGGAAGCCGTACACACGGGCTCCATGTGCTTATATGGCAAAGCTGCTCCTGTGACACCGTCACAGGCCTAAGCATAAAACCTAGCTCAGCGTTCTTTCCAGAACATGAGTCAGACGCAGCACAATATTCTGAACGCTGTTCTTTTTTTTTTTTTTCCCTTTCTCTGATGCTTCTTCACATCACGGCCCAAACCATTACTCACAATTAAAACGAGCCCTGGCAGGTGTCCTTGGCAGGGACACCAAAGCTCTGCATTGTTTTCCACACAGAACAATTACATCACTTCCTTCCTTAGCCAGAGAAAGAATGGATTTCACAGGCAAGAGAGGAAAACAAGGCGAAGGAAGCAGCTCATTTACCTGTTCCCAGTCGGGTCCATGTGCGAACTGTTTAGAGGAGAAGGAAAGGCCTTGAGGACCTGAGTGGTCATTTAAAACCTGCCCAAGGGCCTTCACCACATGCCGACCACAACCCCACTCACCAGTTACTCACAACTCCAGGTTCAAAGAGAAAAGGATGACACACTCCAGAGTCTGGCAGCTTCAAGGACATCAAATGCCATCTACATTGCTGTTAGGAAAGTTAAAGATGCGTCATCATTCAGCTCTCCCGCTATTTCCTCGGTAGATAGACAGGTCCCAAATCCTAAAGCAGAAGGAGGATGTAGAGTCTAAGTTTGTATGCTGACACCGGATTAGATTCCTCTGGCCTCAGGTCCTCTGAACGACAAAGGATGCCGGTGAAATCTACTGTGTCTGACAGCCTTTGCTTCACCAGCTGAAGGGCAGGAGAGTCAGGTGCCCAGCCCATCTCAGGGGCTAGCAGGTGAGGAGAGGTCAGCCTCCAAACTAGGTTCTCCCCCTCTGCCTGACCATCCCAGGTCTTTCCTGTTCTGCCTGTTTACCAGCTCTTGGCAATCTGGAACTTGGAAGAGCTCTCTAGGAAAGGGTGCTTTGGGCAGAGCGGTGGTTTTCACAAACCCAAAAAGTACCAGAGTTGCAGCATCTGTAGTGCAGCCTCCCGGTAACATCAGAGGACAGCTGCACTATCTCCACAGGTGTGTCTCAGTCCAGCGAGAAGAATGGATGCCTTTTGGATGCTAAGAAGACACTTGACTTCTCATTCCTCCATTGCTTGGAACAGTTGACCTCTCAGTTGTTCTCCTGGGCTAACTCCAAAAGGCCTTGGTCACCTGGGCTATCAGAGAAGGGAATTCAATCAGACAGACAGGCAGGAGAGCCTAGACCCCATAACTGGGCCTCTGCTCCACGTGCTGGGGTGTCACTTTGTGACTGGGACAAACCCACGAAGAGGGAAGCCAGGGGTGCTTGAGTGGAGGGGACAAGCTGATGACCCTTCCCCTCTGAACAATGAGAGGACAGTGCCAGATGTTCATTCCTGCAGAGGATAAATCCTTGGGATGTGTCCTGCACCGGAGAGCTCATTCCCCGGAGCCAGAGCATCTCTGCCAGCTCCTGGTGGGAAAGGATTCAACCCTGACCGTGTGCTTACAAATGGCTCCCTGTACAAGTCCACAAACAATAGAGACAAAGCAGACAGCTCAACCCTGCCATCAGTCAGCACAGAGCCTGGCCGTCATGATCTGTTCAGCCGAGAATAACATTCTTTGAGACACAGGAGCGGCCGGCAAAGTTGGAGTGACTCTGGGGACCTCAAACTTTACCCAGGCCAGGGCAGAGGCTGGCTCGTCTTCAAGGTCAGCTGACAGGCAGGGTAATTCTCTCCCTCCTCACTCGGGCCTGTCCGTGTACCAACATGCTGAGAGACTCTGGAAAAATGCCCCAATAAAGAAGCAGAGCTATGATTGCAACACTAATAATGAAAGCAGCACCATATAAGGTAGGAGTGTCTTGTTTACAAGTGACAGACGCTCAACTCAAAAGGAAGTTTGTAACTTTAGCCAAAAGAGGAATTCATCAGTTTACATAAACAGGCCAGAAGAAAAGGTCCAGCACATAATGCCATCTGGTCACTTGGGGGGTTTTCTTCCACCTGCGTGCTGGCTCTATTCTGCAGTTCCGTCTCCCACAAACGGGGAAGGTGGTACCCGTCACTCTTGCTCTAGAGCATCTGGAACTGCTCTGTACATCTGGGGAATTTCCTACCTCATAAGTCTGTGGGGCACATGCCCCTCCCAGATAGAAGCTGAAATGTCAGATGCCCCATTTCCCAAACTCCTTTGCAGCTGGGGCTCAGGCAGATAGCCCAGACGCAGCCTTCCTAAATTTGGAATTATAAAGCAGGGGAAGGGGGAGGCCAGGCAGAAGCAGAGATGTGGACTTCTCCCCAGGAAGCTCACAGTCCTTGGCCGCAGCAGCTCTGTGGTGATGTCCAGGTCCGTCCTCAGGGTCAGCCCTGGGGACTGGGGAGCTTCGCGTACAGCCATGATGGCAACACAGTCCTCAGTGGGCTCATCCTCAGACATGATTTGGGGACATATTCCCAGTTGTTGAACACAGCACCGATTCTTCAGTCGTCCCGGGATTGTGTCTGCTACTCACTTACCTTTTAATAAATTTCTGCTTAAATCACTTGCAATTGAGAACCTGACTACAAACAGCTGTGCCCCTCTGCGCACACCATCTGAGCTTGGCAACCCCAGTCTTCTGTGCACATGTTAATCCAGGAAAGGATTTCTTCTCGGGGCGGGGAAAGGATGATACTGGGGTTCAAACTCAGGACGTCATGCTTGCTAGACAGGTGCTGTACTGCTGGAACCACACCTCTACCCCAGGATTTTTTAAAAATAGAGTTCTTGCTATGTGCTCCGGCTAGCTTTGAACTCTCAGTTCTCCTATCTCAGCCTCTCAAGTAGCTGGGATTACAGACATGAATGACTGCACCCAGCTCAGGCAAGAATTCTTATTGATCTCTTGGGGGGTCAGCTCCATTCTACCCCAAACATGTTGCTCAAGAAATAGAATTTTGTTTGTGGCCTAACCTGTGTGAAATGTCCACACCTGTGGCTAAGGACAGTGGAGTTCATGAAAGACAACCTCAAAGATCTGCTGATGGAATGGAGGAGGTGGTGTTTCCCAAAGAAAACACATGTCCACCAGAAGCACTTTCATGTCATATAGAATATTCTCCCTGATGCTCATTGATCTTTCGAAACTCACATGTGCCAAACTGTGAAGAATTGAAATAGTAAGTCTTGTTTTGTAGCTTTGCCTCCCCCAGCAGGATAAAATAAATCTTTTTTTGTTTGTTTTTTAATTTAGTTTTATTTTTATTAGTACTTTTTAATCAAAGTAAAACACAACTAAAAGTGTCCTAAAGAAAAAGCCATCCTCTGGTTCTGACTTCCCAAGCCCAGCTTTTTAGAGGCAGTCACTTTGGGTATTTTCACATATTTAAAAAGTAATACACTCATGCTACTATTTCTTAAGACAGCTTTAGATATTTCGTATTAAGTTTCTGACATAGTTGATTGCAGTTTAGCCCTTAAACTCCACCCTTCATTCATTCCCTTCTTATTCTCTCAATATAACCAGTTCACAGTTTTGGTTACACCTCTGGTCAGTATTTGTATTATTCTGACTGTGTAAATAGCATTTACCCTCTGGGCCAAATTGTGAACTGTGATTAAGTTAACTTCTCATATATTATTTTGTTTTCCTAGGGGTAATAATCATCTTTTTAAGAAAATTTGTGACTGTTTGTGTACTCGTTGCTAAAATTTTCCAGAGATGCCAGTAGATCTCTTGACTACCAGTCAATATTGTTCTTCAAACATGCCGACACATCAGATAACCTGTAAGTCCTCTTCCCCTTGTACAGTCCTCTGTCTCCGACTAGAGTTAGTTTTTCTCCAGGCTGTTTGTGCAGTCTCATATCCCAGGCTTTCACTGATTACTCTCCTCATTAGATCTCTTTTCTCATGGGTGCCACACCATGTCTTCTTTTTTGTCTTAGATTACTTCCTCTTTTTGCTGTCGCACATCCTATTCAAAAAAGGTGTTCATTTTTTAGACCTTGTTGTCATGAGAATGCTATTATTCTTATAGTCTTGTGGTAGTTTGATTGAGAAGAGAATTCTAAGTTGAAATTATGTTAATTTTGAAAGGTATGAATCAGTTCTTTTCCGGGTAACGGTAGATGTGATATCTCTTTGATAGCCTCTTTGTATTTAATATCTTAAAGTAAAGAAACCAAGAAATGTGATGAATAGAACAAATGTTGTGTGTGAAATTTAGAAGTAAGATAAATTATGTTTTCTTGCCTGCAAACCTTGGCAAGTCTGGAGAAAACACTTTGGCACCTTGGCCTGCAGGCAAAATCTCCACCTCACTGTATTTTGCTTATCAGCTCACACCCGTGAGGAACTTGGTGACTTTCTTCAGAATCCTACAGACGTTTGCCAGGAACCCAGTCTTTGCTGAGGGAAATGAACAGTGTTAACTGTCCCATCAGGTCACTGTGCCTCAGAGAGCAGGGATCCACTGCATGCCTGAGACTCTTGCATGATACCAAAATTTCTGGGACACACGGGCTCTACAAGAGACAAAGCCAATTTAAAAGTAAAGTGGGAAAAAACCAGGTTCAAAGAGAATGAGAAAGAAGCAATGCTAAAGATGAGAAAGAGACATGTATAGTATTGTGACAAGGTCAACAGAGCACTTGCTGTGGCCTGCAGAAGGAATTGTCCTGGAGTTTCTGTTGGGCCCCAGATCTGTTCTCTTGCTTCTCAAGCTGTGCTGTGACCATGTGGACCCCATCAGTCAGCTCCTGTTCTCTTGCTTCCGGTGGGGTTTAGCCAGGGGTCAGGACCAGTGGAGGGGAGGAGGGTGGGAGGGAAGTGAGTCTGAGATTCAGCTTCCCTGCTTCCTCCTGGCAGGCAACAGCTCACACCAGGCCATTGTCTGTGTGCAGCCACCCTTTCCAGGTTCTGGTGGCTGCCTCTTCTCCTTGCCCTCTTGGATTAGGGTGTCCTGTCCCTAGCACAGGACCACTCCTCCCTGGTGTCCTCACTGCCCACTTTGTAATCAGTCCCCACACTTAGTCTTACCACTTGAGCACGCCATCAGGATCCTGCTGGGACTGTGATAAGGCAAAAATCAAAATATTCTCTGAAACCTTACTGATTGACCACATGTAGCATGAGGTGGGCATGGAGGAGAACAAAGGGTGAGTTCAAAGGCAGGAAGAAAGCAGGCAGAATGGGAGTGAGGACATTGACATGTGTCAACGTTCCATGTTACATGGGGATGGAGGGGTCTGTTCACAGAGGGAGGCTTAGGAGTCATTCACATGTCAGAAGTAGGAGACACTGTCAGATGAGGCTGTTCAGGAAATAGGAATAGGGTGACAGGAACTGTGGACAGCTGAAATGGCTTAACACTTGACATCGGGTCATCTTGTGATCCCAAGGCAAAGCCCGAGAGAGTGCCTATTTCCTGACCACCTCTCCAACACAGTATTTTACCAAACAGTTTTTATCTTTGCTGCTTTGGTGGGTTTCAAATGACATTACAATAAAGTTTGACTTAATTAGCATTTTTTATTATGAGAGAGATGGGGTCTTCTTGGGGTTCTTTTTCCTGTTTTGAGATCTGTCTGTTGTTACCTTTGCTCCTTTTTTATTGGGCAGTTGGTTTTTCTAGTGTTGCCTTTCTTAAGCTCTTTCTATGCAATCAGTCCTCTCACTTTTCATGAATTCCATTCTTGCAGATTCACCTACTTCTTGAAAGGTATTTGGAATCCCCAAATCAATACTCACAGAGCCTCTGTCACCCAAAGACCTGCACAGAGCACAAACGTCAGTCCCAACGGGGTGAGTACGCCACACCCTGCCTTCTTGTTTCAGCTCTCATACTGCCAGCAAGTGTCCTTCTCCTGTCTATTGAGTGACACACTTTCTTTATTTGTGTATTCATCGGGGGTTTCGCTATTTTAAAGCCCATAAGCCAATCAAGGGCTGAAGTGCTGTTTAATGTGTCTAGGAGCAAGAAGACATGTCACGTGCCTGATGAAAAACTCCCTGGGCAGATTAGCGTTGTTCGGGCATGGGTTACAGCACTGTTGGCTATGACTGTATTAATCAGGGTGTCTTTAAACATAAGTACACATGGAGCAATGTTATGTATTGACTGGTTAAACAAAACTCTTGGGACCAGGGGTCTCACAAGAAACTAAGTGTACTTTCCCTAGGCACAATTCAGTA